GCGCACGAGATTGACATGACAAACATGATTTGGTAAGTGCTAGGATGAAATTTATTAAAATTTCACGAGTAGATTTTCGACAGTTCACCAGTTGTCTATGCTCTCCAGGTTTTCTCCAAACTACTAGATTCATGACTCAGAATAGGTTTAAGTTTAGGGTTCACGAATATTTCGATCCACATCTGTATTACAATTACGTAAGTATACAAGTGGTTAATGAGAAACGCACTAGTCACTACCGATGGTTCCTAGATTTCATTCCTTGTTCCCATCAAAATTACTCTATCTCGAGTGGTTACCTCCTGGTTCTTCAGCCTTGGGCAGTTTCACCCTCTTCATAACAAGCTTTACTTTAACTAGTGCTTGTTCTAACTTCTATACCTCACTTCCATATGCATCACTGTGGTGCTTCTCAAGTCGTGGCATAAGCATAGTCAATGCCCACGATTTACACATAATAGTTCTACTTGGTAAAATTTGTGCCTTTAAAAGTGTAGGTGATAGCTAATCACATTAGTTTTCTACACAAGAGCTGACATGAAATATTGATTCCATATTTTTGCTCTAGGGATTCATTACTACAATCCATTCAATGTCGTAGAAGGATCTAGGTTGACGTCACTATTACTTCCAGGTTTGTTGCTTACAAAATCTACCTTGTCCCGAGTCGTTGTTCCTGTTGACTTTGTAAGAGACCAAGATGCTAGATACTAGTTGTTCGATTCATTATCTCAATCATAGTTGCGGCAAGCGATTGTGCTGGTGTTGGACGATCACCGACTGGTCTCTTGTGAGACATATCTTTTTCTCACTACAATTAGTTTAAGGGGAAATGAGTCGCGTGAAAATATCGGCGTGTATATAAACGATAGTGCTAAAATTATGTCAAACGTGTAGAATTGTCGTGGGTTTGCCCAAGATTGACTCTACTATGAGTATTAAACGCAACACACTTTTACAGTACTAACAAGGGTGAAACTTTACACTTGGAACGAGTGAGAAGAAACCACCAAGTATTGGGACAAATGGTACAAATTCACGAAGAGAATGTTACAGAGAAAGTTGACTACTGCCCAATGTTTTGACTATATCTTGAGTTTTGAAATTTTGATTCATTTGAATCGAGATGTTTTGGAAACTAGGTAAGATTCCTAACAATCTTCATTTTTCACGTTTTTATCGAGTCTGATTTATTCTCCTTCAAAAAAGGGTCACAAAAGACGAAGGGTATGGGTAGATGTCCTTTTGAACTTGGATAGTCCCATCATAAGTTCGATGATTCACAACCAGAAACACACAAAGTGATTGAACACCTAAACCGAATTCGAAATGATTCGCGAAGGTGCATATATTTTGCAAGGTATTCCTACGAGATCTAAAAGATGCATTCATAGGATATCATAGTTGAGTAATTACTATTCCAAGATAAACTTCGGACATGATTTACGTTTATGATACTTATATTTTTATGAGCACTTAAGGTAACTATTTTCCAAGTATTGGTAAAGTGTTCACTAAACTCTTTAAGAGTTCTCAAGTGATTTGAACTGTGATTTTCTTAAAAATATTCTGGATTCCAAGCGTTTTGGTCCACTAACAACCAAATCCAAGCTTGATTGTGCATCGGTCTAACCATAATTAAACATAGGTGATTAGTCTACGTCTAGTTGTGGTTCGGCCCACGTACAACCAACCTAGCTAAGGCGTTTGACCTAAAACCTTGCATTATATTAGTATTCGAGGGTTGGAGTTTATATATGTATATATATGTATAACCCTATATTTGTAGGTTAAGCAATATACCTAACCTAAGAGAGTAAGCCCTAGGGTATAGTCGCACTTTCCTAAGAAAGTACATGTTCACTATAGCCAATAGCTCTGATACCAATCTGTCACACCCTCGGTCGCCGGCGGAAACGCCGAGGTGCACGACGTAAATCAGTAATCACAGTTATTAAACATACATTGAACAGTACAAATATAATTTTCTATTATAACCGAAATAGAAATTACATTGATAATGGCTATCACTAAATCGTGACACACGCCTAACAATCTGGCGTTTACAAATGTATAATACAATTAATGAAGAATCTTCTGAGCGAATACTTCCGATCTGTTAAATAACCTGAGAATACATGCATTTAAAATACGTCAACAAAACTGTTGGTGAGTTCTACAGGTTTTGACACAGAGTACTTTTATAACCCAAAAGTGTTTGGTAAAATTTGGCTGGCTGACCACCTTTTATAAGTATTTACTTTTCTATTAAAAAGTATAAAATCATTGAGTTATAAAAATGTATTATGACTCATTCATAAATACCATTTGTTCAAATCCAAATGTACAAGAGTTGGAAAATACATATAAGTAATTCAGACTTATATCAAAGTGCATTTTTATATAAATATTTTGAATATCAAATTATATAAAAATAGGAAATGGTACCCTTTGTGAAAACATAGAATAACCAACTTTACTCTTGAAAACTTATACAAGAATTTGTATCATTTATATGAAAAACTCATAAATCTTGAATTTATGAACTTTGTAAAATCGTGTCGTGACAATAATTAAGTATTATCTGACTTAATTTGAAAACCGACACTTAACTGGTGGGGCAAACTCCTCCCACATAAATATTGTGTTTTCTTATACAAACAAATGGTTTATATAAATAACTTATCTTATATAAGTTAATAAATCTTGTCGAGTCATGTCATGATATTAATTAAGTGTTATATAACTTAATTTTTGGTATTGACACTTATCGCTTTGAGTCACATGCTATCCCACTAAATACAGTTTCTTTCAACTAGAATGAGTGAACATAAATCCCGTATAAATCCAATATCGATTCTATACGGTAACGAAACAAAACTGAGATTTTATAATGAAATCATAACCGAACTCGTGACACTATACTTTATTAATGAACCGACACCATAATAAGGCGTGCGTGCTAAAGTCATTCACCTCGTTGTAACACGAGGTAATGTTTCGATAATTCTAACGTCAGCGCCAAAATTCATCTCGTCAGATGTAGTTGTAGCTAGCAACTCCAGGCGGGCGGTCGTACTGTATAAGATCAATAATATGACACTTACACCCGACGTTAGTCGTTCCCTCGAGGATTAACGGTTATATATTGGAGAGTTTCTACTAAGTATTGAGATCTTAGCTTTCGCGAAACCCGGAATAGTTTATAATGGATACTCAAACGTATCGGATCTGGTATTCGGAATAGGTATGATAAACCTATATGAAATAGGTATGATGAACCTATATGGAGTAGGTATGATAAACCTGTATGGAATAGGTATGATAAACCTATCTTGAATAGGTATGATAAACCTATCTGGAATAGGTATGATAAACCTATATGGAGTAGGTATGATAAACCTATATAATCCATTCTAAATTCACTGGATATGTAACATTATTCACCGTTTAGGAAAACGATAGCTGAAATTCTTATAACTTCAAGAATTTATCATACTGGATACAGTTTCGATGTTGTATTAGCATAATAGCTAATTTTTGAATTTATCCAGTTTGGATCGACCGTAGATCTACATTCCCCATATTTTATATAAATTATGCGAGAATGTTTTTAATACATTTAATTTGGGATAAAGGTAAAGTCTTTAAATACAATACTCGACAAGTATTTATTTCGTAAATAACGACTCTTAACTTCTGAAGTCGATCATGTTATTTATTGTGATAAGAATAAATAACTTAGTATAATGAAGTTATGTTGTTATAACTAATATAAAAATATATTAATAATTTCTCAATTCATTTTTACATATCCTTATATATATTAAAAGTTAAATCTTATAATTTTAACCAGTAATTATATAATCTCATGAATTTAATCTTCCATCAATTATGGCAATATACTTTCATTTTATACACGGATAATAATTTTGGTCATTATTATATCGTTCCATGCTTCCATGAGATACTTTATCTTATACATGTAAAGTCATCATTTTTGTGACTCATAATATCCACTTGTGTAATTATAGCAATATACTTATAATCGTGTGATTTTTCTTAATAATTATATTTATATTTCACATAAAGTATAATTATATCAACTTATAACAATCTACTTTAACTTAATAGATTTGCTAGTGATTTATCACATCTTTAGATTGCTATTTCATAAACATTTGACCAATAACAAAGTAAGATGTTATTTTGTATATATAACTTAAAAATCATCAAACTTTAATAGACACGCATATATTCTCCCCCAAATATTATAATCGTAAAAGAGGAGCCGTTGAAACTCACTTTCGCAGCGTGAACGAGGCTCCAGGTGTGATTCTTGTCGTGAAATTTGTTACGTGTGTTCCTCGTTCTTAAGACGAACCACCGGGTATATTTAAATTACCTAATATAACCAAAAGGGTAGTTTTGGTATTAATTATTAAGTATAGGGTGGTCTTTGTCAACACAAATAATTTCTAGGGATTGATTTTGCTAAAATCATTCAATTAGGGACTGATCCCTAAATTTATTTCCAAGGCAGGGGCTAATAGTGCACATTTTAAACCCAATTTGGAGGTTTAGGACCAGATTTGTAACCCATTCTCATATGGGGGTTAAAATAATTAATTCAAATCAAGGGAAGGGAAGGGCCAAAGTCGTACAAGTCTGAAAGTTAAGGGTTTAATTTAATTATTTTGAATCAACGTTTGAATAAGTTTGACCTCTTCCTCTACAAACCCGATTTGCAGATCGGGAAACGGAAGGAAATACGAACGAAAGCAGGTAAAGAAACGAAGTTGGCCCGGTGATTGGCAAATCTGTCGTCAGGAGAGAGGAGCACCTCCGGTGCTTGACTGGATCGACGATGGTTAACGGAAGCAGCGGTGTTGCCGTCAGTCTCAGTGGTGGCTGATTCACCGTGAAACGGAAGGAGGAAGGGGGAAGCCAATCTTCGGCGACCCTTGTGGTTTAATCTTCATCTGGTGGTAAGGAGAGGCATGAACGAAAGCAGCAGCAGTCGCCGTTGGAGTGCACCGGATTGTCTTGTTAGGACAAAGAGGAAGGAAAACGAAAGCAGGTGGGTGGCTCGGTGGTGGTTGTGGGATCGTGAGGAGGGGAGAGGGGCAGCCGAATTCCGGCGAGCTCTTCTTGGATTCATCTATCGTCTTCAGGAGTGGAACACAAAGAAGGGAGCAGGGGAGAGACGAACGTGGTGACAAGGGGCTCCGGTGGTTTTGCTCGATAATCACAGGTTTCTTTCTTCTCTTCTTTGTTTGATTGAAATCAATGGGGTTCTGGTGTGTGATTGGCTTTGATTTTGACATTGGAAGAAGAAGAATTTGGTGAGTGTTTGGGTTTGTTTGTTTGACAGGAAAAGGAAACACGAAGAAGAAACGGGCTGCTGCCCTCTTGGTTGTTCTTGGCAGCAATCGAAGGAGGTGGCTGCAATGGTTGATCAAGGGGCTGTTTTAGATCTGGGATTCGACCAGTGAAGGGGTAGAAAAGAGGTTGTTGCCTCCTTGTTTTCATCGGGAATCAATACAAGAGAACCACCTCCAATGGAGGTGTTCTTGGTTGTGCATGGAAACAGAATGAAGGGAGAGAAGGAGTGAGTCTGTGAATGATTGAGGATATTTTTGTGTGATCAAAAATAAGATAAATTTGGCAAATGACCATAATTTAGAATGATTTTGAAGAAAATGACCACACAAAAAGCAATATTTCAGAAAATGACCAAAGGTTCCGTAGAGGGGGTTCTGCGGAACCATAAACACCTCTGCGGAACCCTTAATTGTTCTGCGGATCGATAAAAACGACGAAGAAAAGGCATTCCTCAATACTCGACTGCGGAAGGAAGGTAGAGATCTGCTGCGGACATCGAGTGTGATCGAAACGGACAAAAAAATGTCAAGGCGAGCTCGATTTGTGGAGCAATTGCACTCCGATGTGTTATCAGAAGGATATGGAACTCAAGTAAAAAAAATTTCCTAATTTTTGTATAAGAACTCAAGTAATCTTTGTAGAAATCGATTATATGATTTGGAAATTGATTGGTTAAATGTTATTTATAAAGATATATGTTTGTTAGGGTGTAAGAATTGGAAATAAGAAATCAATTTATGCAGAGGAGCCCTTCTTTTCGTCAAGAACAGATCCGCAGAGGTCCTCTGCTCAAGAACAGATCCGCAGAGGAGCCCTCTGCGGAACGATAACTGCCTCTGCGGATCTTTATTTATTTATTTTTTTTCTATAATTATTATCTCTTAAATGGACCATTGAATATTGAGATCATTTTATGTTGATTATATCTCATATTAAAATTGATTTCCAATTATTTGTGTAATTAAAAAAAAACATTGAAAATTGAAAATTTCTATAATTATTATTAAAATGGACCATTTATGTAAATTTTATAATATATATGAGACCATTTTGTAAAATTCTGTAAATTTCTTATAAAAAATGGACAACTTATTTTGAAAGATAAAATTGTTAAAAAACAATATATCAGTATTATTTTGTTTAATTTTTGGCATATATGTTTAATCTTTTGCAGCATAGTTTTCGTGGATGACTTGCAGTATGTACTTTTAGAGGGGCGTTTGGGACTGTGTTGAAAAGGTACATTCCAAAACTAAATAGTAGGCGATTTGAATTATTTCGAGAGACAGCTTTTGGGATCTTCATTGCTATGCCCAACACGAATGGTGACCCGATGCTCTGTCATTCGATGATGTTGCATGAGGTTCGTGATGTAGAGGTAGCCAGGGCTGGGAGGTTTCGGTTCGAATTACAAGGCAGGGTGGTTGAATATGGTGAAACAGAATTTTGTTTGATTAGCGGTTTGAGATTTGGACCATATGTTGATATAATAAATACAAAAGTCAGCAGAAGTTCAGCATTAAGGAATCAGTTGTTCCCTTATGTGAGAGATGAAGATTTACGGCTGAAAGATTTAGAAGACTACGTAAAAGGGCCAGCATTCTCGACGTGTAGCGATGAGGATGCGGTAATGGTTATGCAAATGATATTTTTGTTGAGGGGTCTCATAGGACGAGACGGCAATACGTGCATTCCGTCGGCAGTGTATGAGCTAGCCGATAGTCAATATAATTGGAACAAGTATTAAATTTATTATTTATTATTTATTTATAAATACTTGATGATTTATATTATTTATTAATGAGTACGACAGGTTTGTATGGGGTACGTATTTGTGGAGGTATAGTGAAACACAATTACGATTATGGTTTGGTAAAATCTCTAGATATTTACGAGATAATGAGGATGAGGGTTACACGAAGACGATGAAGTATATTGTTTTAGGTTTTCAGTTTCCGTTTAAGGTTAGTTTTAGGTGCAATTAATTGGTATTTTTTAAGTGCTTATAAGTTTGGACAAAGCATAATTTTTTGTCGTAAAAACAGGTATGGATTTTGGAGACATTTCCTGAAGCTTTGAGGTTTGCGCATCACACAGAAAATGAAATTCCAAGAATGAGGGCATGGAGAATAAAAACACAATTGTCTCTCGAGTAATGTTTGCGTATATTAGACGTTTCAGTGGTATAGTTATGCAATCCTTATATTAAATATATATAGTTAAAAATTACAACAATTTTATATACTTAAATTTATATTATTTTTGTAGGAAAATAACATCCCACGTGATTTTGAACCAACGCCTGTTGAGATCAATTTGCCATTCTTTGTGCGTTATGTTAGTTGGACTCTAGACAAAGTGAAGTCGCCACCGCAACAACAGAGTCCTCCTAAGGAGCGGTCTCCATCATCGCAACTAATGAGTCCTCCTATGCAGCGTTCTCCATCACCTTGGAATCAGTTTCAGGGAGCAGATTACACCTCAGCCTCTCATTTTCAAGAAAATACCACGGACCTGTAGAAAACAGTAAAATAGACAAGTTATTTGGCGTTGTTAATGAATTGAAAACCACAATCGAGCACTTTGGGAAGAGAATGGATAATTAGGAAAAAGATAAACAATTTGGTGTGAACGATATGGAAAATGTGGATGCGGGGGAAGCATTTTTTGGTGGTTTGGGTCCCGAGTCAGGCCATACGTATGTGCAGACGCCACCGCCTGTTGTTGATGTTGAGGATAACACAGCTACACCAATTAAAGGGCGGATAAAAATGAAATCGAAATTTTGTAGGGAGCCTTACACACAGGTATAAAATTAAGTAATTTCTATTTATATGGTATATAATCGTTCCAAATTAATTAACATATTGATTTTGTAGGTTCCTCTGACGACGGAACCATTGAAGAACAGAAAAGGGAAAAAAACACAGAAGGAAAATAATGTAGCAAAAAGACAAAATTATGCAGATTGTGATGATGAATTTTGGAAATTGTGGGGAAAGAAGATGGGGGCGGTATTTGTGGAGCATAGACTTTTAAGAGGTATTGACATGAATTTGGGAATTTTGGTCTAGTTTACTTGGTATTGGCTCTGGATGGTTGCTCTCTGAGGTAACGCATATCCCTTATTTATATTACAAAAAGGGTTAGATAATTAATTGTTCAAAATGAATTTGTTTTTTCTAACACACAGCATTTGGTTATCTGGTCATCCCTGCTCAAGGAAATAAGTCCGTCGAATTGTAGGTGGACGATTATTAATCCTGAAGGCACGACTTTGGAACCTGGGAAACAACATTATTTGAGGCGTATAGCAGCCGGGATGGTTGATGGACCACATTGGAAGGAAATTGATTGGGTAAGTATATATATATATATATATATTATATATATATATATATATATATATATATATATATATATATATATATACACACACATTAAAATATGTATATATCTAATAAGTTATAATTTTTTTGAAGGTTTTAATTCCAATCAACATACCGCAACTGCATTGGTATTTGGCTGATTTGGATCTCCTGACATGGAAAGTGACCATATATGATTCAGCTGAATGGTGTGGTTTCTTCAAAAAAAAATGCGGATGACGGTAGTTTCAAATCGTTGGGAGATAGTATATTAAGTGAACTAGACCACATATCATATTGGGCCCATTTTCCCAATAGACAGAAATCTACTGAGGTGAAATTCGTTAAAGCTAAACATGTGCCGCAGCAGGAACAAGTAGAAGAAGGAGAAAGAGGAGATTGTGGAGTTTTTGTTTGCATGTTCATGGAAATGCTTGCATCGGGTGTACCAGTGGAGACACGTCAATCACCTAGAGATACGGGATTTACTTACCGTAATCGGATGGCAGAAATTATTTGGAATAGTAGAATTTGATTGTGTTATTTGGAATAGTAGACTTTGATTGTGTTATTTGGAATACTAGACTTTGATTGTGTTATTTGGATTTACATACAGCTACACCTATTAAAACAAAACAAACATGAGATACCCAACTATTAGAACAACTACCAACAGCTTGTACATACGTATGCGGATCAGTGCACACCTCTGCGGAGCAGTGCACACCTCTGCGGATCTGTGTACACCTCCGTGGATTACCAAACAACTCTGCGGAATAAGTAATATAAAATCACTTTACCATGCGTATCCTTTCATCGATTCTGTACCATTTCTTCTTGATTTCAATTTTTTTAAAAATTAACCCTTATATTTTCCGCCATAATGGCTTCCATACCATGGAGCGCTGAGGATAACCTCCGTCTAACTCGTGCATATATTAATATCCACGAGACCACCAGGGTGAATGATCCAAGTTATTGAACCCGTTTAACTTATGCCTTAAATGTTGACCCTCAAACTGCCCCAGAAAACTACCGCAACACCGTTGACATCACAGCAAAATGGTATAAATTAAAAACATAAGTCTTGGTTTTCAACAATCTTTATACCAAAATTGATGACGCACGTCCGAATGAAGATGAGGAAGTCATCCTGGAAGCGGCTAAAGCGGAATACATATTCATTAGTAACGGGTTAGAATTCGAGTTTGAAGGGCCCTGGAATCTATTAAAAGATCTCCCGTATTTTTAATTTGTATTACGTTTGTAGAAGGATATTTTAATGTAGTTTGTTTTTATTAGGTTATTTATATGCACCGGTTTGTATTACGTTATTTATATGTATTTGGTTTGTATTAGGTTATTTACGAAACCAGTTGAGTTAACTTCTACTTTATTCCATAGAACATAAAATACAAAACAGTACAAATACATGGAAAACATACATCAGTAGCAAACATATTACATAAAACATTTCACATAAAAATTCCTTCTACATGAAATACTGGTGGTTCTTAACTAGATTCCAAGCGTCCACATACTCGAAGTCTTTTCCCTCATGCTCGAAAATGTAATGATCTAAAATCATTTCTACAAGAGGTTCCTCGTTTGAGTAATAATAATTACTACTATTTTTAAGATGATGATATCATCGATTGAACCATGTGATTTCGTTCTTTAACTCCATCCACTTACTAAGAATATCTACTTGTACCCGATATTCTCCTTGTCCAAATGAGAGGTTGAACATACCTGTTATGCGGGTCCATTCATCACCTCCAAGGTAATCAGGGGTAACCATTGTTGTTTCACCTTCAAAAATGTTTAACCAACATCGTATTATAACCATCACCTCTCTTGTCGTCCACGGACGTGGAGTATCAGACGACGATGTTGCATTCGTAGAAATTGGTGCATTGGAGGCCATTTCTATATTTTTCAATACTGGGGTGAGTTGATACAGTATTTAACAGGTATGAAAATTTATACACTGATCTGTAGAGGTGTACACTGATCCGCAGAGGTGTACATTGATCCGCTGATAACAGTTCTGTGGATTCCCAAACAGTTATGTGGACTGATATCGAACATAAGTTCATTATTTTTAACATTTTTTTGTCAAATTATTTACATAATCACATAAGGTATTAGTGTATTTTAAAAAAAATATTAATAAACGAAAATGAACGAAATAAAAACGAAAAAACGAAAAAAAAAATTTAAAAAAATCAAAAAACAGCAATTCCGCAGAGGTGTAGCGGATCCGCAGAGCAGCTAATGGATCCGCAGAGGGTGCTCTGCGGATCCTTTGGTCATTTTCCAAAATCCATTTTTCCTTGGTCATTTTCTTCAAACAACCCTTCCTTTTTGGTTATATCACAAATTTTCTCATTTTTAGAAGACTTTTGTGGTACTTTGTGATCTTGCAGGAGATTTAGAGTACATTGTCCAATTGGTTCAAGATTTGATACATGTGCAATTGGGATGATCATTTGTGTGAGTGTGTAAAAAGTGAGGATCGAGAATGAATGGGAAAAGAAGCTGGACACTTTCATGTACCAATAGATCTTTTATTACACCTCTCAAGTATTCTTAGCTTTTCTAATGTTATACATACATACATACATATATATATATATATATATATATATATATATATATATATATATATATATATATATATATATATCACAGATAACAATACTTTTATACATATAATGTATACATACACACTTCATTAATTTGATATTTATACATGTGATGGTATTTTGGTAACAATAATGCATCCATACTCTCAGATATAATTGATGCAAAATTTTATTTTTAACGTCACAATTAAATCAAATTTTTGGCGGTTTTTGATTCGATCTTCAACGATGGATGGTTTGATTAGATTAAGATGTTCCAAAAGAATTTATAAATATGATATATTTAATATACATTATAAACTTAAAATTACACACGATTGGTCAATAATACATAGCGGTTCGCGGTGGTTTGACCGCCGAACTCAGACCAATTTTTACCAATGGTTACACAAATCATGTGTCGAGTAGTACGCCTCGTGAGGCTTCAGCTGCCTCGAGGTGTAGGCGATGACATGCCCTCTCTGCATCAATATTGCGCCCAAACCCAAAATAGACGCATCGCAGTATACTACAAAATTCACCACGCCCTCTGGCAGGGCAAGAATCGGCGCCTCGCACAGTCTCTGTCTCAATGTCTCAAACGTTGCATGCTGCTCAGGCCCCCAGCGAAAGACAACGACTTTCTTCGTCATCCGGGTCAGGGGTACGGCTATCTTGGATAAATCCTGAATGAATCTCCGGTAATAGCCCGCCAATCCCAGGATACTCCGAATCTCAGATGGAGACTTCGGAACCTCCCCTCTCATCACGGCCTCTACTTTGGCCGGATCGACCAAAATCTCGTTCAGGTTGACAAGGTGACCCAGAAACTGCACCTCGCGCAACCAGAACTCGCACTTGGAGAACTTGGCATACAAGCTCTCCCTCCTCAAGGTATCCAACACCTCCCGCAAGTGCTCCTCATGCTGCTCCTGCGTCTTGGAGTAAACCAAGATGTCATTGATGAAAACTATCACAGACCGATCCAGCATCGGTCTGCATACGCGGTTCATGAGGTCCATGAACGCGGCAGGAGCATTGGTGAGCCCGAAGGGCATCACCACGAACTCGTAGTGGCCCTAGCTAGTCCGAAACACAGTCTTCTGTACATTCTCGTCTCTGACCCTCATCTGATGGTAGCCTGAACGTAAATCTATCTTGGAGAACCAAGATGCTCCCTGTAGCTGGTCAAAGAGATCATCAATCCTTGGGAGTGGGTAACGGTTCTTCACCGTTACCTTGTTCAGCTCCCGGTAATCTATACACATCCGATGTGTCCCGTCCTTCTTCTTCACGAACAGAATCGGGGCTCCTCAGGGTGAACTGCTCAGTCTGATAAATCCCTTGTCTAACAGCTCCTGCAACTGTGTAGACAACTCCTGCATCTCGAGAGTAGCCAACCGATACTGTGCCTTGGCTATCGGGGCCGCACCAGGGACCAGGTCGATCCTAAACTCCACCTGTCTCTCCAGAGGTATTCCAGGAAACTCCTTTGGAAATACATCCGGGTACTCTCGCACCACCGATACATCACTCACAGTCGCCTTACCCTCCTTTCGGGTATCCATGACATAGGCGACATATCCGGTGCAACCCTGCTGAAGGTAGCGCCTAACCCTCGTTGTTGAACATAAAGCTGGTCCTCATTGTGGCCTCTTGCCCTGAATCACCAGCTCTCCCCCACTTGGGGTCCTAACACGTACCAACTGCTGTGCGCAGTCAATCACAGCCCCATTAGGGCTCAACCAGTCCATACCGATGATGACCTTGTTCCCACGCAAAGGTATGGGAACCAAGTCTACCAAGTAGCGCTCCACGAACAACCTCAAAACACAATCTCTGAAAACCTCTGATGCTCGAACTGATCGGTCGTCAGCAATCTCGACCTCTAGTGGGCAATCCAACATGCCCGAAGACTCAGGAAACTTCTTGCTAAGTGCAAGAGAGACAAATGATCGGGTAGCACCCGAATCGAACAACACCTGGACTGGAATATCGTTTACATGGAACGATCCTAAACAAAACACATAACATAACACATAAACATCATAGACAACATATAATAAAAGCTAGGGAGAAGAAATCATACCCGTCACCACAGGTGCGGCGCGTGCATCCTCGGTAGTCAACTGGAAGGCTCGTCTCTTCACCACTGGAGCCTTTTGTCTTGCCCTGTCGGCCATCAGTGAGTCGCAGGGTCGCTGGAGTTGGCGCCGCCCTTATAGACCGGCTTATAGACCGGCTTCGTGAATGAGGCGTACTAGCGGTAAGACGACTTGACGTTATACATATATATATTAGTAACTTATAATATTATAAAGTATAAGGGTTGAATTTTAACTTTTAAAATTCTAAGGGTTGGAACTAAAGTTTTAATCAAGACTTTACATGTTCCAAAACTTGAGGGCAAGTTTAGTAAACTTCCAAAACTTTTCATTTCTTATAACTTATGAATTAATTGAGTAATAAAAATGAAGACTCTTCATTTTTATAACTCTTGTGTTCTTTTAATGGCTTTAATAAAAGTGAGACTTTTGGTTTTCCATAACTTGAGGACAAGTTATGGACTCCATTAAAACACATTATGATCATGAATTAAACTACCATGAAGGTTACAAACAATTCCTATGATCATCTAATCTTCATAAGTTCAAGAACATGAATATGAACACTTTCAAGAATCAAAAATTACACTTAAAAAAAAAAAACTTGTAATTTTAATAATTGCTATTGTAAATGGATTAGCATAAACATTACACCATCTAAAACAAGCTTTAAAACATCAAAACAGTTTAGGGTAATGTTTTCTAGTCCATTTCCAGCAACAAATGTGCAAACTTTCATACGAGCAGAAAACAAAAAAACGATTTTTTTTTCAAGCTGTTTGCACACAAAAAAAAACAACAAA